GGACGCCCGGGACAGGACGCGAAATACGGATATGTCCCGGGAAATACGGACGTTTGGTCACCCTAGGCTACTTGTGCTTTTAGACTAACTTTGCCAAACACTATGGCAGTGATTACAGATTCGGCGCTGAGGACAAAGCTGCATTTCTACAGGTTTGCAAATCCAGATATTAGACATGCTAGCATTAGCATTTTGTAAAGCACATTTAGACACAGGAATATCACATAAGAAGAGTTTGAGGAAAACAGCAAAATTCAAATAAAAAAACTTTCATGTTTGTATATGGTTGTTTGTTTGTTTAAGGTTGTTTTTGACTTTTTTTTTTAAAAATCACACACTTATAATCGCACACCTTCAGAAGGTGAGTAGAACTCTAATAGTAGCTAAAATTATGAAATCAACGCAAGTGGCCTAAGTGCAACACATTTATTAAAACCTCACTCTATTTCTTTTCTTTACGTTAATGTGTGACGGCATTATGCTTTATACGTCTTCGCCCCAACGGATGAAAACAGTGGGTGTTTCCACTGGGCCTCAAATGAACAGAATGTTTTCTCTGAAAATATAATTCCAAAAGCTAAATATTGGAGAATAAAAAGTTTTATGCAGCTGTTGTGTTCAGGCCTTAAAGATTAATGATGTATCAGCAAATACTACATAGCCAGGTATCGGGTATCAGTATCGGGGCCAAAAAATGGCATCGGCGCAACCCTAATGAAAACAGAAGCAAAGTCAGGGTTCTATCCTCTAAAGAACATCTCCAGGATTAAAGGACTAATGTCTCAGCAGAACCTTGATAAACTAATTCACTGGTTTATCTTTAGTAGAGTTTATTCCTTCACAGGTCTGCCTAAACAGTGGATCAGACTGATCCAGAACTCTGCTGCCTGCATCCTCACTAGAACTAAGAAGAGGAGAGCATCAGCCCAGTTCTAAAGTCCTTCCACTGGCTCCCCGTATCTCAGAGAATAGACTCTAAAATCCCTCTGTTAGTTTTTAAATCACTGAATGGCTTAACTCCAGCATATGTTACAGACGTGCTGTCAGTGAATCAACAGCCAGACCTCTCAGGTATTCTGGATCAAATCTGATCTGCAGAACCAGACCCAAACATGGAGAAGCAGCTTTTAGTTATTATGCTCCGCTAATCTAGAATAAACTCCCAGAAAACTATTAAGTGCTTAAAACTTTTGTTGTTTTAAAGACAGTTTGTAAACATATTTCTTAAAGACGGGTCTTTGACTGAGATATCTACACATTAATAATAAAGTTTTCAGTCCAACTTTCCATGTTTTAATCCATCAGTTTATCTTTTTTATGTATGATTATCTTCTCTTAATTATTAACCTCTATTCTCTGTATTCGTGTTGTCTCTAAGTCACTGCATGTGCTTTTCTTTTTCCCTCTTTCTCATGTAAAATATTAAGAATTTTCCTACAACTGAAATATGCTATATAAATAAAGTTCATACCTCCATCATATACTGATCCACAATATGCAGCTCTGACACTGGCCCCTTGTGGGATTTATACATTTCCACATCATCTTGGGTAGGGACGTACCTAAAAAAAAAAAAAAAAAACAATGTTGGTTCTCATTTTGATGCAGATATAATACTTATCTTAGAAATATTTAAATAATTTTTTTTAACTAAACTAAACATGGTCTAAATGTGTGGTTGTAAACACCTTATTTACAGTAGATTCCCTTGAAAAAAGTCTCATGTTTTTCACACATGTGAATCCCATCAAATGTAAACCAGATGTGGGTTACATTTTCTACATATGATCAAGAGTTTGGTTCATAAATTCCATGTTCCATTCAACTTTCCATCACAAGTGGAACTAGTGAAGGCATATTTCTCAGAAGTGAACCACATATTTAGGTTTTATTTCTTTCAATGTGAATATCATTAG